TCTAGGGGTGCTTTCTGGTCCAGATTCAAAATAAAAATAAAAATCGAGCAACAGATCCAGGATACAATGGTTCCAACATTTTATGGAGAAGGAGACGGCGCTTGGGGATGGCAAATTGCTATGGAGCAATATTTTCAAGAAAAACAAATAAAGGAAGAGGCTCAACAATTGGCAGAAACTCTGAAGGGGCTTGAAGGATGTGCGTTCTACTGGTCTAGGCTTTGGAATCTTAACAATCCTAATGCAAAATTGTGAGATTTTACCAAAGCATTTATAAATAAATATCTACCTGAGATTTATTTGGTAGAGAAAGAAGAAAAAAAAAGCCACAGTAGAGGAAGAAACGCAAAAAGAAGGAGAACGAGCAGATCCATGCTCAGAAAAAGGAACCGAAGATACCAAATAAAAAAAATAGAAGAAATAGAAGATGAAGAAAAAGAAGCAACCAAAGGAACAGAAGACAACATCAACCAAAAAGAAGTAGATACAGCGATTGCAGAAAAAGAAGATGAAACAGAGGTTGAAAAAGAAGAAGGAGAAGGAGACGCTAAGGCATATCAAATCTCAGAAAAAGAAGCAGAAGAAATTACAGAAAAAGAAGAAGAAGAAGAAGAAGTGCAGGAGGATGAAGAAGATCATGAGGAAGAAGAAGATGTTGAGGCAGAAATGCACTTGCAGGCAGTGGCAGATTTGGGAAGAATGAAGGTGTGGGCACAAGGGGTGGAAGAAGGCGAAGTGATGATGGGAAGATGGGGAGGTGGAACGGGCTGGAGCGGAAATGGGTCTTTGTCGTTCAGCCATGGGAAGAACCAGTCACGAGGAGAGCACGTAGGGGAACAAGGAATGATCCGGAGACGAAGCGGATCTGTTACAGGTCGAAACGGAGGTGGATTTGGAGGTGCTCATGGGTTTGTGGGTCGAGATGCTTTAGAAAACAAGGATGGGCATAATGGGTTACAGAGGGGTCCAACTAATAGACAAAATGGGCCTAATCTTTTGGCCCAACATGGGGGATTCAATTCTGAAAGCCTATGACAGGCTTTAGTCACTAATGTTGCAAACCCTATGCTAACAAAAGGAGGGCCTCACGAAGGTGGTGCAGCTACATACACAAGGGTTTCACATTATTTAGGAGCTGAGATTCCACATGCTGCCCGAGTTGCTGTTTTAGCTGGAATGCCTCTTGTAGTCATGGAGACATGTATAATAAGTGCAACTCCCTTTGCTTGCCGCCATGTTTATGGTTATATTTTCGGTTACGAGAAGCTAGTTGCTGAATACGTCACTGCAATGGCTCCTCTGGTTAGTAAATCTATTGTACTGGACAACATGTCTGTCAATTCCCTTTGTCAACTCCTTCTTTGGCATGTGTTGATTATGGGTAAGGGTGGAAATAAGCCTTACGAAGAAGAGAGGGGATTACATGGTTGGGTTTTCATACCAATGCACTCTGTTTTCTGGACAGAAACTCCACAAAATACAGAGCGTGGGGACTGTGGTTTTATACTCTGTTTCAGGGCCAACAATTCCACAGAAAACAGAGCATTAGAGGGCAAGAAAGGAACAACAATTTGTAAGGTTGTAGCAGTGCCCAACGACAATTCTTTGACTTCTAGCATAACTGGGTATACATGCTTCAAGCAATGGGACCCTGGTGGATGATCAATTACATCCCCTATCATCTTCCTCACCTTGAGGACAAGATGAATTTTGAATGGGGAGTATTGATGGGCTAGGATTAGTGGGCCCAAGTTTAGCAATGCAAAATTAGTTACTGAAATAGCTAGTTTATTATAGAAACTATTCTAGAAGATTCCTAAATAATAGAATATAACGAGGGGTTGTGGGAGTGTGAGGTATTGATGTATTCAGAATATTTGGAGTGGGGTTTTGGGAAAGGATCTCTTGGGATCTCTTTGGCCTAGGTATTTGGCTTTAGAGTGAGTGAGATCTTTTGAGTGTTTATTTTCTGTATTTCCTTTATATTTTCTGCAATTTATCCTTGTAAGGAGCTTGTCTCCATTTATATTTCTGCAATTTCTTATGAATAATATTAGGTTCCATCAATTTGGTATCAGAGCACTTCCGATCTAGGGGTGTTCTTGATCCAGATCTGAAAAAAGAAAAAAAGAAAAAAAAATGAAGTTCAGATTTACTGCTGTTCCAAAATTCTTTGGAGAAGGAGATGATGCTTGGGGATGGCTGATCGATTTGGAACAATATTTTCAGATCGAAGGAATCAATGAAGATAAAAAATATAAGGAAGCAGTGAGAGGGCTAAGAGGGCGTGCGTTCTACTGGTATCAAGGTTGGAAGTGGTTGAATCTTACCGCAAACTTGAAGAAGTTTGAGAAGGCGTTCATAGAGAAATATTTACCTGAGATTTTATTGGTAGATGATGGAGAATCAGATCCAGCAATTTATGGTGATAAAGTAGCAAAGGAACAAATCAAAGAAGGCAAAGAGAAAGAGGCAGTAACGGTTGCTAAAAAAATAGAGATCGAAGCCAAAGTCGAACGTGAAGGAGCAGATCTAAGCTCAGAAAAAGAAGCCAAAGAGGCCAGATCAGAAAAAATTGAAGAAGAAGATGAAATCAACAAAGAAGAAGAAGAAATCAGCATCGAAGTAGAAGATGCAACAAGTGCAGAAAAAGAAGAGGAAAAAGAAGATAACGAAGAAGAATCAGAAGAAAAAGGAAAAGAAAATGAAGAAGCAAAAGAGCCAGAAGAGGCTGACGAAGAAGAAAACGAAGGAAAAAAAGAAAAAGAAATAGGAGTAGAAGAAGGGAATGAAGAGAGAGAAATTGAAGATGTAGATGAAGATGAAGTTGTTGAAGAAAGAAAAAAGGAAAGAGACGATGCAGAAAGGGAAGACGAAGAAGAAAGAAAAAAAGGAGATTAGGACAGCAGTTAGGCTTCACAGACGCTTGCAAAGTGGCTGGGAGGTACTTTTCGCTCTATCACATGACCTCTACGGCGGAGACGTTATTGGAAAGGGTGGCTGCTTTGGGAAACAACAACATCAAGGAGACTACTAGGTTAGTGATGATGAAATTATTAAAATTGGGTCATTATATTGACCCAATAAAACAGGCCCAAATTGACTTTAATCACCTCCAAGGCCAACCTAGCAATCTGGGTCTTTTTAATTTTGTGGGGTGTGAAAGTTGGGCTTGCAAGCCCATGATTTTGTTTAAAACTAGTGGATTCAAATTAACAGGTTCATTCATCTATCTATTAGACGGTCAGGTGGTAATAGGGGAATTGTTTAAATTGAACAAGTCTGAAACCAAGGATGTGAAGTGGGCATTCAACTCAACCAATCATAAGATCAAATTTTTGGTTCTGCCCCAATTGAATTTCGGAGGAGTGATGAGCTGGGTATTGCATCACTATGCTGAGTTTGAGTTATGGGCTGACAAATTGTTGATACTTGATGCTGTGATAAAATCTGCCGAATCGATGACATCTTCGATGAATTTCTTTTCCACAAGACAAAGACACTGGGGGTGAGAGGCTTCAAAATATGGGATCCGGGTGGAAGCTTCTTTCACGTTACCCATCCTTCTTTCACCTTGAGGACAAGGTGAATTTTGAAGGGGGAGTATTGATGGGCTATGACTAGTGGGCCCAAATTCAGCAATGCAAAGGAGGCCATAGTTAGTTAGGGAAACTATTCTAGAATATTCTGGTAAGTGGGATAAAAGGTGAGTGAGTGTGTGTAGTGAGATATTCATGTATTCAGAATATTTGGAGTGGGGTTTTGGGAAAGGATCTCTTGGGATCTCTTTGGCCTAGGTATTTGGCTTTAGAGTGAGTGAGGTCTTTTGGTGTTTATTTTCTGTATTTCCTTTATATTTTCTGCAATTTATCCTTGTAAGGAGCTTGTCTCCATTTATATTTCTGCAATTTCTTATGAATAATATTAGGTTCCATCAACTGCTTTGCTGAGTCAGCAAAGGTTGGGCCTACATTATTTTAATCCTTCCTATACATACATGATCTTGGGCCAGATCGTATCAGAAAGAAACAAAAACGGAGCATTACATTGACTAGGCTAGCTCTTCAAGGGGATAGCTTCCTCCCCAAAAATGAAAAATGATACCTTCCAGTTTGCAGTGCAAAGGGCTGTTGAAGTTCACTCTATGTTTTCTTTTACCCAGCAAATCCAAAAATTCTGTGAACAATAACTATTTTTTTGGGGTGATAAGATAATAGTCCAACTAGATGGAGGATAAGATGACCTCCCCAACAAAATAAATCTATGCACAAGAAGGACTAATCGAAGATTCAAGAATGTAGCAAAGCTGCTCAATCTCTCTGCAAATTAAAAAGAGAAACAGGCATGAACTGAAAAGCAAAGTGAAGTGGTAAACATAACACTATCTCATAACAAGCTAAGGGGCAAAGAAACATCCTTAATACATTGTGATTTATACATATTTGCTGTCTTTGTTTTATTACTTCACATTTGTGGATTCTCTTGACTGTATTAACAAATTTGTTTCCAAACTAGGAGTAAGGACTTATTAAATCTATAGAATGAGGGTGTTCTTCTCTCTATCTCTCTAATTGAATCTTAGCTACAAAATATTGTGCCTGTGCTTACTTTATTGCAAAAATAATACACCAAAGGAAAAACAAAACTCGTCATAGTTTTAAGTTTTAACAAATTTTATTTGTTTTTCACAGTAAAATTTCATACATTATGATTGTTTCCAAAATATTTGCTTCATTTATGTCTAATGTTTTTAGTATCTTTATTGCGATGGCCTTGTAGTCTAGTGACATCCAGCTTCCGTAGGAAGCAACTGATGCCAAGTGTGAACCATTATGCTCACATCAAGCCCATCTTTCCCCTTCTCCTTACTTGGTCTTAGGATCTCCTTTGCAATTTTTTTTCTTGGTACCTTTATTGAGAAAAGTGTTTAAAATCATCTTGAGGATTGATTTTCAATATTGTATTAATGATTGGCGTTGTTCCTACGTGGCATATGGCAGAGAATATTTTGCAGTCTATGCAGATACTTGCTTTGCAAGTTTTGGTGATAGAGTGAAGAACTGGATTACTATTAATGAGCCCCTTCAAACTGCAGTGAATGGGTATGATACAGCTATTTTTGCTCCTGGAAGACGTGAAAATACATTAGTAGAGCCATTTTTGGTAGCACATCATCAGATCTTGTCCCATGCAGCGGCTGTTTCCATATACCGAAGCAAGTACAAGGTGCAGGACAGTATTTATTTCTATGATAAACTTTTTGTTAGATCACTTTCACTTTGTATTTACTGTCTGTATATTTTGTTGCTTCTCCCCACTCCCACCTTTCTATATTTTCTTGATTTTCAAATTATGTTAATATTTGTGCTATTTTGCCAAGCTTATTGCCTATTCCAAACTTTACTTAAGGTCAGACCTGATAAAACATTAGAAGAAACAATTGAAAAAAGACCCTGCTCTAAATGGTTTTTACTGAAATTTTGGTTTTGGTTAGAGACCAATGGAGTTGATTGATCCATATAGCCAGACCCCACTTAGTTGGGGATATGGCTTTGTTGTTGTTGTTCTTCTTGATTCTCAAATTATCTGTTAATTTTGTTTAATGATTACTTATTGGTAACTCTTGAAATTATAAGGATTTAGGCGGAGAATGAGGAAAGAGAGATAAGGAAGACTGAGAATAATATTCTATTATGTATATTGGTGGTATGATGTGTTGTAAAAGACAAAGCACTATTAGACTTCCAAACTTAATCAAGTAAGGAAATAAAATGAATGTAGAAATTATTCCTAAGAGATCATCCAAGATACTTTGAAGATATTCCAAAATACAAAAATGATATTATGAGATATTTTCTTGATATTCAAGCAGTGACCATATTAGAAAAAATGTTACAAATTTATTTATTTTGTTTATTTATTTAATATGTTGCCCTGATTTTCCAGGATAAGCAAGGGGGACAAGTGGGCCTGGTGGTAGACTGTGAATGGGCAGAGGCTAACTCTGACAAGACTGAAGATAAATCTGCTGCCGCAAGGCGCCTGGATTTTCAGCTTGGCTGGTAGTACCCCTCACATTTTGCTCCATATTATTTTGATAAGAGCTTGATAGTCTTTATTGCTTGAAATAAGTGCGATAAGACGTGTGTATACACTAACAGACTCAGAGACATAAAAGACAGAAAGCTTTGGCTCTTATATTTATATTCTCCAAGTAACAGTCTTTTTACTGACAATCTTAATTCGATGGAGATACTCCATTAGAATTCTATATCGTGTTGATATTATACTGTTGAACTCTGTTGATAATACTATTTGTTGGAAATAGTTATTCTAATTAATGCAGCGCATGAAATGATTCAGGTCCTAGAAAATGTTAGTGCAGCATAAGAAATAATTCAGGTACTAGGAAATGTTAGTGCAGCATAAGAAATAATTCAGGTACTAGGAAATGAATTATTCATTGTTCTTCGTAAATTCAAGTTGTAATTAAATTCCTCCATGTATAAAAAATGCAGCATGCTTACTGTATTTTCACTCAAGCGAAATCATAGAAATCTCTCAAATTTCACTCTTTTCAAGTAACTCAATTCAGCAGAAGGTCATTGATAGGTATCAGAGTTAAATGGAACTAGAAAATTAAGAAGTAAAATTTATTAATAAGATTGAACCCAAACTCAGATCTAACCTGGATGATTACACTTTGTATTCTCAATGAAAAATTACAAGTATCAATGAAAAATTACTGAATGGAAAAGATGACCACAAGGTGGTGTTTACAAAATTGAAACAACACTATTACAGACTAACTACTTCTGAGAACACTTGAGGTTCTGGTTTTCTCCCAAAAAGCCCAAAGGTCCCAATTGTCCCAGATGATTCTCTCCAATCCTCCCCCTCCTATTTGTAAATGACTCCTTGCCAACCATGCAACCAATTCTAACCAACTTTGCCTCCCAATGTTGAGTCATCATGTCGTGCTCCTCTTCCTCTTCTACACTTTCCTGAATATGCCCTTTTGACTAATCATATCAGTCTGGGTTTGAGAATTTTCCTATGTATTGTTCTGTATAACACCACAAAGTAATGAAAACAAACTGATATCCAATTTATTCTTTGAATCTGATGAACTCTAGAAATTGAAGATAAATCATAGATGAAGAAAATAATGCAAATTAGAATGGGAAGCTTGTATTGGTTTGCAGGTTGAAGTCGTGTCTAACCTTGGTGTAAGATGCATACTTAGGCTAGCTTGTATTTTTATCCCAGGTTCTTGCATCCACTATATTATGGAGACTATCCTGAAGTTATGCGTGAACGACTTGGAGACCAGCTTCCCAAATTCTCAGAGGAGGACAAGAAATATCTTTTGCATTCATTGGACTTTATTGGCCTAAATCAATATACGTCAAGGTTTATTTCTCATGTAACGGAAAGCACAGAAGAAAGTTATTACTACAAGTCGCAGGCGATGGAGAGAATTGGTAATAATCAGAGTGTTGTATCATTTTCTACGATATCTATCCTCGATGAATTTTCCTTGATTGAGCTCTCTGTTTGTCAACAGTGGAATGGGAAGATGGTCAGGCCATAGGCGAGAAGGTATTATATCATCTCTCTCTCTCTTTGTGCGTATGTGTACCTATTATATATATATATATATATATATATTTGGAAGAGGATCCGTTTACAAATTTTTTTTATAAATTTTTGTAAATTACACTATGTATCCCGGAAATACATAGTGTAGTTTGTAAACAAAAAATTTATAAATATAACCCTTTCATATATATATATGTATATATATATATATATATTTGGAGAGGATCCGTTTACAAATTTTTTTTATAAATTTTTGTAAATTACACTGTATCTCCGGAAATACATAGTGTAGTTTGTAAATAAAAAGTTTATAAATATAACTCTTTCCTATATATATATATATTTATAATATATATATATATATATATATATATATATATATATATATATTTATAATATATATATATATATATATATAGAGAGAGAGGGAGAGAGAGGAGGATTATATTTACAAATTTTTTGTTTACAAACTCGGGAAATACAAACACTTAAGTGTGTATTCCCCGAAATACATAATGTAGTTTATAAACAAAAAGGTTTGTAAATATAACCCTTTGCATATATATATATATATATATATAGAATAAGATCAACTTACACTGGTATAAAAATATAAGTCTTACACCAAATCTTAACCGTTGATTTTTGTATATTTAGCGATTATGATTTATTAGAAATAATAAACGTTTCCCCCCCCCCCCCCCCCCCCCACACACACACACACACACAGGATTATATTTATCACATTTTGCATGAGAAAAACAAATTTCCTACACACACAAAAAAGGAGTGGGTCCCATCTCTTTTTTTCTCTCTCCTCTTACCTATGGGTCCCACTTATAATTTTGTTTCTATAACATAAGATAACTATTTTTCTACAACATAAAAAAATTATTTCCCATATATATATCTATATATATATATATATATATATATATACACATGGAAGTTTTATATATTCTCTTTGCATATAACAGGCAGCATCAGAGTGGCTTTATGTTGTTCCTTGGGGTCTTCAAAAGTGTCTCAATTACATATCACAAAAATATGCTACCCCCATATATGTCACAGAGAATGGTATGTAACTATACTTTTCCTTCTTTAGAAACTTGGCAAGAAAACAAATAGAAAACGAACCAGGCAAGCAAATAGAAAACGAACCATTAGAGAGATTAAGTAAAAGGGGTCAATAATCCTGGATTCCTCTCTCTCTGTATTAAAATTTTGACTGTATAATGGCACTTGGGAGATAGGATTCCAAAAATGTAACATTTTTTCTAATTCTTCAACATTTCCCTTCCTAGTTCCTTACCACTTCCTTGATTCCTCAACATTTCCCTTCCTTAGCCCTTCACCATCATGAGCTTTGTAAAAAAGAAATAGAAAGATTAAATAATTTTTGTTTTCTTCCCTTGTTTTTTGACATACTAAACGATGCTAAGTCAATAATTAGTCAAACAAAAGATTGGGTTGGAGTATGATACACGGTCAATTATTGGGTATGCTACTATTTTGACAAACCTCATGGTAGTAAAATGTAATTTACACTCTCTGTCTCTCTCTCTGTAATACAAACCTTGGGTACCACATACTTCCAATTCATGCCTTGCAATTGGATCCTAACATTCCACCACACCTTGCAGCCCCAGAACCAACACGGGCTTGCTGTGCACTAATCCCTGAACTACACCCGGGCAAACACTGCAATGTCAGACAAACGTTACATGTTGGAAGGCTTTGATACCAATTGATAAGAATTTTGTGAGAACCACACGACAAATGCCATCCATTGTGATAGAGAGCTCGAGTCCATATAAACCCTACCTTAGAATTCTATACTTATGATGGGAAACTCAAGTTTCATGCTTTGCAATTGGATCCTACCACACACTGTGAGTGTGTGTGTGTCTCAACAAAGTAGTTCTGTTCTATTGGAATAATATTGGAATTTGGTGATACAGATCACTTATCAGTAGAATAAAGAAGCATATTTGATATACTTGATATTTTTGCTAGTGCATCAATTTGTGTTCTTTCTTGGATAAGCAAACTTCAATACAATCAAACTTCAATATTGGCAACTGGAAGATCTCTCATCGTTGGAGTGGCTACTCTGCTTAAGATGGATAACTAATATTATTATTTTTTTCTTTACAATTGTACTAATTTATGAGTGGAATTCGTGAAAAAACAGAATTTTTTCAACTCAACAATAAATTAATAAATAAATAAAGGAAGAAAGAGTTCTAATAGAAGCCACAAAAACGATTCTATCTTGTGTAACATGATAAAATGGTTCTTATCTCTGAGGCTGGATTTCTATTTTGTCAGGTATGGATGATGAAGATAATGATACCGTGCCACTGGATGTGATGCTAGATGACAAACTGAGAGTTAGGTATTTCAAGGAATACCTTGCGTCAGTTGCTCAGGCTATGAAGTAAGTTTGCTCACTTTCTACATACACGCCATCTGTATGAGTTAAACTTGTTTATTTCACCAATTAATGAGTAATCTAATGTTTAGATGCATCTCTCCTTTTTTAAATATATGATGGTTAATGCCCTATGATCTCATTTCCTTTTTTCTTGCATTTCTTATTTTCATTCTTGTCTTGTCTTGTATATAGGTATATGATGAAATTTGTTATTTGACCTTAGTTGTGCATATGTCTGCAGCTATATCAGTATTAGCTTTGGGTACTTTGAAGTTTGAACTAATTTTTTTTTTTTTGTGAACAGTGGAACTAAATTTTAATAGAAGCAAGCATCACATGCACTATATGGGTATTTTTAAATTAAAATAAAACATAAAAATATAAATTAGAAGAGAAAAAATATTCTAAATTATAAAGGAGATATGAATAATTAGTTCAACTAGAATATATATATATATATATAGAGAGAGAGAGAGAGATAGGATCCTTTGACACTAGTGTCAAATTTGAAATTTGACACCTCATCTGATAGTCGTTAGATCAAAAAAATCAATAGTCTTACATGCTTACAAATCAGAGTCGTTGATCTTTTTTTATCTAACGGCTATCAGATGAGGTGTCAAAGGATCCTACCTATATATATATATATATATATATATATATATATTATGAAGAAAATATGCATAATTAATAAAAAATAATTTGAATTTAAAAATTAAAAAAAGGTCCTCTCAAACTGTTAAGAATGACATATGTCATTCTTTGTGGGAGATTAAGTTACTCTCAAACTGTACTCATTTAGTATATAGGGATGGATAATGATTGACAAAAAGGTCCTCTTTCGTATTTCATTATTTGAGTTCAAACATTGAAAGTATGTACAAATAGGGTCTGAAAATTGGGAATGGATCCTCTCATGCGTTAGCTAACATGACAATATCATGTAGGAGGATTCTAATCATACAATGGTGAATTAGAGTTGATGATTTTGTAACTACCTATCCAAATATTTTTTTTTTCTCTTCCTGCATCACTATTGATTCACTTTTATATGATTATAATTCCCTCACATGACATGATCGTGTTAAATAACACATGAGAGGATCTACTCCTTGAAACTTATTTCTTAGGGTATCTCTAAAGTATTTCTTTTCTAGGCTAACTGAACAATATCACTTTTGAAAATCATAGAAGGGTCTTTCCCCATACAAGATTTTGATAAGAGACCGAAAAAAGTGAGGGAAAAAAAATCATATTATTGCCAATAGAATAATTTTCACCAACATAACAACTGAGTAAAATCGTTTGACCTTGAGACAGAATAAGAATTTAAATCAAACAGACCTGAAGTTTTGTATATCATTTGAATGCACAGAGATGGAGCAGATGTGAGGGGATACTTTGCATGGTCATTACTGGACAACTTTGAATGGGCTCAAGGCTATACCAAACGCTTTGGATTGGTCTTTGTGGATTATAAAAATGGGCTCACTAGGCACCCAAAGTCTTCTGCATATTGGTTTTCACGGTTTCTAAAAGCTGGTGAAAACAAGAAGGGTAAAGAAGAGTAGTTGACTTTCATCATTGTATGTCTTACAAAATAAAAGGAATAAAACAATATAAAGAACAAAACTTCTACATGTATATGCTATAGTGGCATTTCTCTACTTATTTCTGAGTGTATCAAATCTTATGCCCCACATGCTTTAAAACTATTTTATGTTCATATATGTCCTGGCTTCTAATCTGCTGCTGCTGCTGCTTAATTGTTTTAGTATTTTCCTATTACTGTGAAAATTCCCAATTTGTGTTTTAGTATTTCTCTACAAAAGATGTCGTTTAGTTTTTAAGGTTTGATTTTTATTTGATATTTTCCCAACAATTTATCAATTTGATCTTAGGCAAATCTAAGCATCAATTGATTTCATCCTAGGAATCTAAAATAAACTCTAGACTATTATTCCACCCAAATAACACTACAAACTTAAACTTGAAATAGGTATCATTATATTTATTTAAATAATAAGTTTTTCAATTAAGATAAAAAATATCAGAAGATTCAGTAAAAGTCTTATACTGAAGTACTTTTAATTTGTTGTATAGATCTAATTACAATATTTCAATATTGAGTTACCAATAGTTTCATTTAGTTTTCTACAATGCTCATGCTTAGTAATAGAACTGTCAAAACGAGTCAGCTCGACCCATTTAGTCCTAGCCCGTGTGGGTTAGGGCCAAAAAATCCACAATGACATAGACCCACATGGGCCAAAAGCCCTATGGTTTAGGGCCAGCTCGTGGGCATTTCAAAAATTTAATATGTATTTTTTTTTCATAAAAAAGAGGACTCTTAGCAGAGCTAGGCATGGTTGAGGGTGAGATAGCGAGACTTGAATGTCAAATAAGCCAACTTTAATCTCGTTTGAAGCATGAACAAGAAGTCACCAAGGAATTATTGTAAATATTCTTTGTAAATATTTACAACCACTGTATACCCTCATCATCAGAATCATCCATAACTTGAATGAGCAAGCGATCTTTTGGCCAATCAAGTTGGCACACTGCGGAAATAGATTGTTCATATACCTACAGTTAATGCCAAAGTCGTCATCATCATTAATAGGAAGAGTAATAATCTCTAAAATCAAAACACTAGTCCCTGCGGCATCGTGCAGTCAACTACTACTCTAATTACTTCCTTTGACATTATTATTCAATTTTATGATGAAACTAACAGAAGAAAATTTTAAGGGGGGAGGGGAATCATCATCACTTGACGATTGATTGGTTTTGAGTTAACCGCACCGACAATTTTTTCTTCTTCTTTTCCAAAAAAATAGAAAGCAGTAAGTACTACTGAGTACATAGGATAGGAATAAGAGAAGACTGTGACCTCTTTCTCATTGCACATAGGGATTTGAACGAGTACCATAGGATATCCATCGTTGGCTCCTTCCATATCATCTGAATTGGGAGGAACCCCTTTAATCACGGGCTTAATCTTGTTGAATTTGATCCACAAGCAACCAAGACACAGAAGCATTCGATCCACAGACTGAATTATGAAGAGAAGTATACAAAAGGTTGAGAGAGATTGAATTGTGGGTGCATTATTCCCGGAACTCCAACCACCTAACATAGGCCGTGTGAAACCATCATGTGATCTCCCAAGTTTGTGGAATGTGCAAATTATGGTTGTGAAAGTAGTGCCACCCTTTGAAGTGAGCAACCAGTTCAAATGAAAGAAATGCCAAAGCAATCACCAAGAACGTGAGAATTACTCGAAACAGAAACTTTGCCTTGCCAGATTTTTCAGTCTCCACATGCCCAAAAAACAATCTTTTCTTAACGGCACGAAGCAATGAGCAAAGAGAATTTGCAAGCCAAGCAAGGCAACCGACATCTCTATGAGCTTTGAGAAGCAAAACCCATGTGAACTGCTTAGCATTTTTACCTCTTTCCTTGTCAACTGGCTGAAATGCAGAGTCAGGGGCATCTATTTCAAGCACAGAATAATTGGGGTTCTCCAATCTCCTCATCAATCTCACATCCAAATCCAAAGTATCTCTCACAGGAACCATTGTAAATATTCTTCTTAGCTTCCTCTTCACTGAAAATCCAGGAAGAAAAATACAACTCAGACAAAAACTAACAACCACCCACACTATCACAAGTTGTTTCCATGCTCACGTATATCACCCATAAAAAATCACCCAATAAGCTAAAATTAATTCAAGCATCCAAGAATTTTTTTTTCCATTTTCAAAAAAGAACCTCAATCTTCTATGCTTAAAAAAAAATAGTCAATGCTTGTATCATGCATGTATAGTAGAACATTCCCTTTTTTTTCAAGGTTCTTTCTTTATGTTATTTTGGTGTCTATTTTTTTCTCTATATATTTTATTTTTCGAGATATTATAAGAAAAAGAAACTGACTATTACTCAATCAGGTAATAACAAAAACATATAAGAAAATTTTGTTTTTGTTTCCTCCATTTTCTCAGCAATCAAACAAAGAGAAAAGGAACCACTAAGTCGTGCAGAAATTTGAAATTGAAAGCTCATTGTAAAATTAAAAAGAAACAAAAAAGAAGAAGCAATGATTCAATAATTAAGCAAAGGAATGAATATCAGAGAAACTGAATTAATACATGAAACAGCAACGTGAGAAGATGGAATTTGTAAGAAAGGAAGAGAAGAAAAATCACTGACCCACACGTAAATTTTCTCATCAGCCCTTTCCTTATAGAGTGCCTTCTAATCTGCAAACCCCAAATGAAAAAGAAGAAACAAATATAATCAATTAAGAAACAAAACCAAATAAAGTATGATTAAGCCAATGGGAATAGAAACTTACCATTACTTTACTGATAGTTGATATGTAATCTATGAGCAATTGAATCTGCCAAATCCAAACGACGCTAGGGTTTTGAACTTTTATATTATCGATCGATATTGGTGAATCATCTACAGGATGAAAGGCTTTGATAACATATTCCCAAATTTTGAAGAATAACAATGAAAGTGGCTGTTGAGAAGGGAATCGAAAATTTTCTCGAGATAATTGTGGCTAATAGTGGAAAACAATATAGAGTAAATATCCTTTTTGAACCCGTTTTAGTCTCTAGCAAATAAAAAGGCCCGTTGTGGTCCTTAAGAAATTCAAAATGAATCCATTTTAGTCCTTTTAGGGACTAATATGGGTCTTTTTTGAATTTGTGAGGGACCACGATTTCAACTAAATGGGATCATTTTAAATTTTTTAGTGATCACGATGAGCCTTTTTATTTGCTAGGGACTAAAACGGGCATCGTAAAATTTGCTGAGGATCAAAAAAAGTATTTACTCAACAATATAAGGTATGAAAGAGAAAAAATGTTAATAGATGAACCGCGGGCTGCTCCCAACCTAATCCTGTAAATTAGAGGGCTTTCAAGGCTTGGAGTTAAAATGACCCCATTGTACAAAGGGTTAAAAATGAATAGGGCTTGGTATGGGGCCATATGGGCTGGCCTAAGGCTTTAGCCCTTATTGACAGCTCTACCTAGTAACTAGTTAGTGATAGTGAGAGTTTTTTTTTTTGTAAATATTCCAATCGGTTCATTGCTTCGCAACTAATCCGATTCAGAACGGGAACATGATTAATGCTTTAAATCACTCCCAAAAGTGGTATTGGGGAAGTGATAGTGAGAGTTTTGATACCAAAAACTACTCTTTGCAACTCTCTCAAACGATTTTTAATTAAAGGATGACCCTGCAATTGCTCTTATTTATTTTTGCTGTGAGATCCAAAAATTATTCGAACATTAATTATAAACAAATTGTACGATTGAGAAGTTTCAATTACCGATCAACATGGTACAATTTGCACAAGGACAAAATGACATTATTACTTGTTATCGAAGCTAATAGGATAATTTCAAGAGTAAATTTTGAAATTGATATCTATACATTAGTTCTTCACAAAATTGTTATTAAATTAACCCCTTAAATATCTGAAATGTCACAACATTTCTTTTTATAAAGGATTAAACTAGTAGCACAAAAAGATAAATTTAGTAGCTATTTTATATATTTAATAGGCTAATTTTTATGGTAAAAATCTTTGAAAGACTAATACATAAAAAATGTTAATCTTTTAAAAAAGAAATAAAGAAAAATAATTTAGGAGTTGATTCTTATTTCGATAAGGTCGAACTTAACGAAAAGGGGACATTAATCACATTCTACAAGAGTAGAAGAATAAGAAAAGCTCATTAAGATGCTTAATCTTTATTTCAGTGCTTATATTAACGAAAACATTGCATTCCATTAATTAAAATGTGAACATGAGTAAGTTGGAAAAATGCGAGTTTGTTGCTATGTTTGGGTACTATTAGAGGTGGTAATATGGGTTGAGTCCGGCGGGTCAACCCGCCAACCCATCAAAACGGAGCGGGTTGGGTTGAGATTTTTAACCCACCAATCCACTTCAACCCGCCCCGCCTATAAGTGGGTCAAAACGGTTCAACCCGCCGGCTTATAGGTTTTTTTTTTACAATTGGTAGTATTTCATTTGTTATTAAATTTTTGTGATATCCAATTTTTTTTTTGTCTTAGTACTTTCTAGAAAAAAAAAAACAATTTATTTATGACAAGTGTTATCTATATATGGAGACAAATGAATTTCTAAAGAATGTTTGACAAATATTAGTATACATTTAAGATTGAGACTGAAAAAATTAAGAGAAGTGTGAAATAAAATAAAATAATATTAGAAAATTCATAAAATATGATTTATTTTTGAATTTTAATTAATTTTTTTTTAATTGGCGGGTTGGTGGGTTGACTCGCCAACCCACCATAAAACAGAGTGGGTTTATTTTTTCAACTCATATTTAATGGCAGGTCAACCCGTCCCGTCCCATTTTTGGCGGGTTGGTGGCGGGTCGGGGTGGACCAACCCATATTGTCACCCCTAGGTACTACGGTAATACCTACATCCATTCTAAAAGAAGAAAATTATTGGGACTTAAAGGAAAATATAAATAAAAGCAGGGGTGCAAACAGAAGACAATTCCTATTTAAAAAAAAGGAGTACCCAGTTATGTACTTCTACTGCATTGAAAAAAAATCCGTAAACATGGACAATCTCTATGTTCATGTCAGTCAAAAAGCAATCCAAGAATCATAAATAAATAAATAAAATAAAATAAATAATAATAATAATAATAATAATATTGATACCTAGAGTAGGTCCCCTTATATTAAAAATTCACATGACTTGATAATTTGAAAATTTTGCGTAGATCTCTCCCTTCACATGCATTAACTAAGTGAGGTTTAATAATCATTAATAAAGAAAAAGATAGATATTGTTATGGACCTGAAATAAATGTCTATATTCTAGAAGGCCCAAGAAGAGAAAATAACTAAGAAGGATATAAGGAAAGATTTCTTAATTATACTAATCCTAGTGCGACAGCAATGATTCCAGCATTGGCCCAAAAATTCACCAAGAGGTCCAAAATTTCACTACCCAGAGGTAAACTCTATAAATAAAAGGTAAAACTTACAGGTATGACACACTCTCTCTCACTAGTTTTCATTGTGCATACATCTTACATATTGGCTATGCTGCTTTCTTATTGTGCACAGTAACCCACTAGTCTCTAACATATCTCTCTATAGATACCTGAGATAGGGCACACAGATCCAATAGAAACATACCAATCATCAAATTGGACATCACTGATCCTCCAAGTTGAAAGAAGAGACAAGGCGAGAAAAGTTGAGCTCAAGTAAAGGGGCAAAAATTGGCTCCCAAAAAGACTATGGCAGAAGAAGCCAAGTCGAAAGAAGATTCGAGGCGAGAAAAGTCGGGCTCAAGTAAATGGGTGAAAATCGTCTCCCCAAAAGACTATGGCAAAAGAAGGCAAGTCGAAAGAAAAGCCGAGGCAAGAAAAGTCGGGCTCTAGTAAAGGGGCGAAAATTGCCTCCCCAAAAGACAATGGTAGAAGAAGCCAAGTCGAAAGAAGAGCAGAGGCAAGAAAAGTCGGTATAATAACCCTCATTAAGAAATCTTAAAATTATAAAAGAAGTATAAGTGTGATTAATAGTTTACACTAGCTTTGGAATAAGTAAGTATTTGATCGAATTTTTTGAGTAAATGAATGAATTGATATGCTAAAATTTGTGATGATACAATTCATGTCAAGTAAGGTAAATTAGACCCAAATAGGAATATTAATAAAGTCTAGGGGTCAAAATATAAATATTTGAAAGTATAGGGACTATAACACCTTATATAATTGAAATATATATTTATATTTAAAATGAGGATTAAGGGGTAAGATTAGTGAAAATCCTAAATTCTGGATCAAAATACGTAAGGAGGGTAGTGGTAAATCAACAAATATGTAACCCTAAACTGTAAAATGATAGAATAAGGTCTCAAATGAGAAAAGTAACCCTAGAAATTGATTCATAACGAAAAATTGAGTGGTTAGGCAAGTTTCTGAAAAATTGATGAATAGTATTTTTATCGCATGAAATATTTCGGTATAATTGCACCGAAAAATGTGCCGAGTAAGATTAATGCTCTAGGATTGAAAATATGTTGGAAAAGGTACTTAGGACCAAGAAATATGATTGTTGATGAAATTTGATAGATTTTAGGGTTTAAAAAACGTGCCAACGGTGCACAAATCAGGCTAAAATAGTGATTTTACTGAATCACCAAAAAACTCCAAATTCATCTATTCAAGGGTAATTAAAGAACTTTGGTGAATGTTAAATTTTGGATTTAAGGGATAGTTAGTAAATTAATTGGAGATTAGAGGGATAAGGAGATCATTTGAAATAATTTGAAATGTGTGAGGTGGCAAGTGAGACCCACCCCACTTAAAATATCAAATGGGCACACGTTCCTCACTATTCACTCTCTTCTTCCTCCCTCTTCCCCTCATGAAACCCACGACCATCACCATTTATTGGGCAAGTTTGCATTTCAATTTCCTTCCACCAAATCCCTTAGAGTTTCACATGAAATTTTAAGGAAAACACCCAATGATTCAACCCACACCTCCATTCCTTTTGAAAGTCCCTAGAGTTTGAGATATTCCCCTACAAAGCTTGTTTCAGTTGTTGCTTGGGGAACATTCATAGGAGCTTTGGGCATTGATTTGTGGTAAGTTTCCCTACCTATTGTTGAATTTTATTGGAGATCATAAAATGGAAAACCTAACCTCTACGTGAGGTTCAACAACGAACTTCAAATCCTTCTTAACCTCTATGTCATCATGTTGTACTATCTGTGAATCATCAGATATATATCTATGGAGCTGATTCACTTGGAAGACGTCATGTAGATTCACCAAGTTTGGAGGTAGAGCAAGCTGATACGCCACAGGTCCGACCCTCTTTATTATCTAGTAGGGCACAATGAACCGTGGACTCAACTTCCTCACTCCCAAGGCACGTCCAACAGCTGTAGTAGGTGATAGTCAGATGAATACATGATCCCCTTCAGAAAACTCAAGGGGTCTGTGCTTGGCACCATAGTAACTCTTCTGACGGCTCTGGGCTTTCTTCAGCCTATCTCTGATCATCTCAATCTTCTCTGTAGTCTCTTGGACCAAGTCTGGCCCCAATAATTGTCTTTCTCCAATCTCTGTCCAACAAGTAGGTGCTCTACACCTACGGCCATACAAGGCCTCATAAGGAGCCATGCCCAAACTGGCATGATAGCTGTTGTTGTAGGAGAACTCAACCAGTGGCAGGTACTTGTCCCAAGCATTACATGCTCTAACACACACGCTCTCAGCATGTCCTCCAGTGTCTGAATGGTCCTCTCTGTCTGACCATCGGTTTGCGGGTGGTAGGCAGTACTCAATCTCAATCGAGTACCAAAGGCCTCATGTAACGCTTCCCAGAAGCGTGAAGTAAACTTCGGATCCCGATCACTGACTATGCTTTCGGGAATGCCATGAAGCTTCACAATTCTCTGACATATAGTCTGGCTAGCTGCTTTGTGGAGAAAGTCGTCTTGACTGGAATGAAATGTTTAGATTTAGTCAAACTATCAACCACAACCCATATGGAATCAAATCTAGCATGGCTTCTCGGTAATCCAACAACAAAGTCCATGGATATACTCATCTACTTCCAATCTGGAATATCTAATGGCTGTAACAAGCCAGAAGGCTTCTGATGCTCAATTTTTACCTTCTGACAAATAAAGCACTTGTTCACAAACTGGGCAATGTCTTTCTTCATCCCAGACCACCAAAAATTCCGCTTCAAATCTTGATACATCTTGGTTGCACCTGGGTGGATGGTGTACTTACCCATATGGCCCTCTATCAACACTTCTTCTACCATTGGCCCCTTCGGAACAATTAACCGATCTTTGTAGTATTTAACATTAGAAGCATCGGTAAACACAAAATCTTGCTCTTTCATCATTTGGATCCTTTCATCAAGCACTTGGGCCACTTTAACTTTCTCTATCAATGAATTTCAGACTTCAACCGTAGTCATGAAGTATGAAGTCTCAAGTGGTGTAACTGAAATTCTCAAATCTGTGAACTCCTCAATTAAGTCATACTCTGCAATCATCATGCTAGCCACACTCGTGGTTTTTCTGCTCAAAGCATCAGCCACAACATTCGCCTTTCCTGGGTGATACTGAAGGTCAAACTCATAATCCTTCAGGAATTTCATCCATCTCCTTTGCCTCATGTTAAGCTCTTTTTGATCGAATAGGTACTTCAAGCTTTTGTGATCGCTAAACACTATGAAAGTAGCACCATACAAGAAGTGTCTCTATATCTTCAAGGCAAAAACTACAGCCGCTAACTCAAGATCATGAGTAGGGTATTTCTCCTCATGTGGTCTAAACTGTCTAGAAGCATAGGCCACTACCTTTCGCTCCTGCATAAACACGCACCCTAATCCATACTTGGATGCATCACAATAGATCTCAAATCTCTTCTTCGGGTCAGGGAGAATCAAAATCGGTGCGGTAGTCAACTTATCTTTCAGTTCTTGGAAACTTACATCACACCCAAGGGTCCATGCAAACGGAACCCCCTTTCGGGTCAATCTAGTCAATGGCAAGGCGATTCTGGAGAATCCATTAATAAATCGCTTGTAGTATCCTGCTAAACCCAGAAAACTCTGAATTTCAGTCACACTCTTAGGTCTCTCCCAATACAGCACAACTTCAATTTTACTCGGATCCACAGCCACTCCAGCAGATGAAATGACGTGACCAAGAAACTGGATCTCATATAACCAAAACTCACACTTTGATGGCTTGGCATATAACTGATGCTCCCTCAAAATTTGTAAGACTATCTTCAAATGCTCTGCGTCTCTTCTTTACTTTTGGAGTAGATCAGAATATCATCAATGAATACCACAACAAATTGATCTAAATGTGGTTTGAAAATTCGGTTCATATAACTCATGAACACGGCCAGGCCATTAGTAAGCCCGAATGGGATCACTAGATACTCATAGTGCCCATATCTGGATCAGAAAGTCGTCTTCGGAATATCCTCGGCCTTTACCCGGATCTGGTGATATCTGAAACGAAGATCAATCTTCGAAAACACAGAAGCACCTATGAGTTGATCCAACAAATCCTCAATGCGTGGTAGAGGATACTTGTTCTTTACTGTAACCTTGTTCAACTGTCGGTAATCAATGCAAAATCTCAGTCTCATCCTTCTTCTTCACAAAGATAACTGGTGCACCCCAAGGAGATACACTCGGTCTGATAAAATTCTTGCGGGACAATTCTTCTAACTGCTTCTTCAGCCAACAAGCTCTACAGGTGACATCCGGTATGGAGCCAATGAGATAGGCCCCACACCAGGTACTAAGTCAATTGAGAATTCAAACTCCCTCTATGAAAACGCCAACCTCTACAAGGAGCAGATGAAAAAGTGGCACGATAAAAAGCTTATCAAGGGAAAGTTAGAAGTTGGAGACAAAGTGTTGCTGTATCGATCCAGATTGAAACTGTTTCCTGGGAAGTTGAAATCAAGATGGGAGGGACCTTATGCAATCATTGAAGCACTTCCCAATGGAGCATTTGCCATTGCTCATGAAACATCTGGAGCAACGCTCAGGGTAAATGGACACAGACTCAAGAAGTATAATAGAGGGATCAAGGAGCATGAGAAACTAACTTCTCATCTCGATGACCCAGCTGAAGTCTGACTCAAGGAGCAACAAGTCGAGCTAAGACTATAAACGAAGCGCTACTGGAAGACAACCTAGATTTATTTCCACGTCGTTCTTTTTATTATTATTGTCTTTGTTTGAGAAAATTAATGTGTTAACCATTGCAGGAAGCTAGTTTTGGGGTTGCTCTTGAGCAACCTGATCCCAAAAGCAAGGAGCAACCAACACTTAGAATTTGATCCCTCAATGAGAAACCAAGTTCTAATTGAGCTGATCCACTTGCCCCTTTTAACCCAAGGGCCTGTAATGGGCTGCATGCGAAAAAAAGAAGAGAGAAAACCGAATGGCGGAAGCAACGGAAGGATAATATCTCCACGCCGTGCTGTCACATCTCTCCAATCAAGCGAGAGTAGCAGTTTCAAAAAGAAGAAACCGTCAGAGCAGAGGACAGTTGCTTTCCCCCAGGCATTTATGTGCAGCAGACGTTCTTCCACCCCATATCCGCCACTCAGCAAAGCCACGATCACCGCCATACAGAGCGTTTTAACCTTCCCATCCTCCCCTTCGTTCCTTTATAAACACAGAACTAATATTTCATTCTCATAATCTTTTCTCCTTCAACCCACAAAAATCCAACCTTTACTCCCCACTCCATCCCTTCTACTCAGAACATTACACCATGACACGTCCAAAGGCCACTATACCTGTTGCTTCTATCTCCAAGAAGAGGACCCAAACAGGGAAAAAGCTCAAACCTGAGCAGACCACAGTCGACCGTACAGTCATACCAGAACGGGGCATAGTCCTCAGTAGCTCCAAACACGGAGATCTCGACCGATGGCTGACCGAGGATATAGCAAAACTGGATTGGGAACTCTTCATTGAACCTCCCTCAAGAGCTCGCACTGAGTTCGTGACCGCATTCTTGGAGGGAATGAAGAAAGAAGATCTTCCAAAACTCCTCATCAGAGGCGTGAAAGTAGACTTCTCCCCTGAAGAAATCAACGAAGCATACAACACTGCTTTAGTTCCTGCCGAACAAGATGAGTTCGATAGATACTGTGCTGGCCGAGGGGATGAGGCCGTAACTGAAGAAGTGCTCCAAGAAATAGGCTCAGAGGGAGCAACCTGGGGAACTAAGGAATCCATCCCTAGGAAGCAACTCAAATTCGAAGCAAAGGTATGGATGCATTTTATTAACTCCCGTCTGATTCCCGTGAGCAACGACTCTAGAGTGAACTGGGAAAGAGCAGTGCTGGTCTTCTGCATCTTAACTAAGAAGAAGTTTGATGTTGGGAGGATTGTTTACAAACAACTGGTGGCAAATGCACCAAGAAACTCCCCCTTTTTTTTTCCCTTGTCTGGTCACTGAAATGTGTAAGAGGGCTGGTTTAAAGGCCAACATCCCGATTTCGGAAGAAATCATTCCAGAAGGGTCGGACATTGATCAGTCCACGATAAAAAGAATCAGAGACAATGAAGGATTGGAAAGTGAGGAGGAAGAAGAAAAAGAAGAGAAAGAAGAAAAGGAAGGAAATGAGGAAGAAGAGGAAGCTGAAGTTTCGGGGAATGTGAAGGAAGAACCTCAGAAAACTCCAAGAAGGGAAAAACTTCCCTTTAAGAGAGCTCCTACAAGGGGTGGACTAAGGCAGTTCCTAGTCGAGACAACTGACATGACTCAATGTCAAACTATGTTTGGTCTCGGAGCAGACCTTCTAGCCACTCAAGTGCAAGCCTTAGAAGACACAGTAGGAAGGGAGCTGCAATCTCTTAAAGAAGCCAGCTTGCTCATCAACAAAGAAAAGGTGGCCCTGCAGAATGAACTTGACCAGATAAAAAATGTTGGACCACTGCCGCAGAGAAAAAGGATTGAGGAAGGAGAGGGATCCTCAACCTTGCAAAACACGGTAAAAGACCTGGTGAAAGCAATAGAGATGATGAACAAGAGAATGGAAGAGAGGGAGCAAGCCCACGAAAAAAGCAGGAAGGACTGGAAGGAGGAGTTCGGGCTCTTGAAAGATGAATTGATGAAAAGCAAAGAGGAGGAAATTCAACTTCGATTGTACTACCGAGCTCGGGATCAAATCTTTGCCAGTAACTGGGGAGAAAAATTCAAGGGACAAACTCCATATCCACCGTTTCCAAATGTCTTCCCTCCAGAAGCAATAACAAATGCTTCGTTTAGCGGAGCAATACAAGAAACTGGAGAGCATTAAGGGTCGCTACGGCGACCCCAGGTTCATTCATTCCCTATCCTTTTTAACTTGTTTAAATCTGTTGGAATGAATGCCTGAAAGTTTTGTGGTGGAATGTTACTGACTTTGCTCTTAGATAAATGACTTTTGTGGTGTACCAGGGATTCGCCACCCTGTTTTATTTTTTTAAAAATACTGTTTTTAATTTTTGCTAAGTTTACAGTCCTAAGTGTCCTGATCTACTCAATGATTCTTTTTGCCCAGGATTCTGCTCCTTGAGATGTCCTAAAGAGTTTTCAGTTTCTAACAAAGCAACATAGGGCATCACTCTGATTTGGAGCAACACCATGCACAAAAAGCAGCACTCCAAAAATCGGACACTCTGTTATTCAGTGGACTTATTGAGTTACCAAGGAAAGAACTTCAGGCTGTTTAAGTAAAATTACTCTGCCCCTCTTTGGTTTAAAAAAAAAAAATACTCCAGGTATTAGATCAATGGAGAATTTAATTTCTCTGTTTGGGGGTAAACCTGGAATTTCATCCGGAAAAACCTCTGAGTATTTAGAGACAATAGGAATACTGGTTGCATCAGGTTTAGCCTATGCTTCTGAAATATTAAAGAGAACATATCCTTGTGCTCCATCTAACAAATTTTTCCTAAGTTGAGAAGTTGACAAGAATAAAGATTCATTTGGGAGTTCTGATTCTTTTGTGAAAATTATCTTTTTATTATGACAATCAATGACCACACAGTTTGCAGACAACCAATTCATACCAAGGATTACATCAATGTCAGTCATAGGTAAACAAACTAAATCTATTCTAAACTCTTTCCCTTCGACTTGAAGAGGATAATTTTTACAGACTTGAAATGTGGTAATTTTCTCTCCAGTGGGAAGAAAAATTTCAAGATAAGAAGATAGAATGGATATTTGTAATTTTAACTTTTGAGTAGAAGATAAGGATATGAAAGAATGAGTAGCCCCAGAATCAAACAGTACGGTTACAAAAGAATATTGTATTAGACCAGTACCTTGAACCAAATTTGAAGTTTGAGCCGCTTCCTGACCACTAAGAGTGAAAACTCTTCCTCTTGTTGCAGGTTGAGTTGATGAATTCTGACCTTGATTCTGAGGACACTGCCTCAACATATGTCCAGGCTTTCCACATTTAAAGCATACACCTCTTCCTGCTAGGAATTCTCCAGCATGATTCTTTTTACATTTCGGACATACCTGAATCTGAGAATTCATCTGTCCTGTATTCTTTCTTCCTTTGTTGTTAGCAAAGTTATTCCCTGAGTTTTGTGCTTGTGAGAACCTCCCTTTTTTGTTGTCATCATTCTTTCTTCGACTTGAAACTCTGTTTTTCTCTTTTCCTTCCTCAGCTTCCTTCATGCTTGCTTCAATGTCTCTGCACCTGTTTATTAATGATGAGAAATTCCTGATTTGGTGTCCTATTATCATACTTTTTAGTTCAGGTTTTAGTCCAGATTCAAATTTAGTCGTTAACCATTCTTCATTAGGTTGATTCTGTACATAATTAGAATATCTGGATAATTCTTCAAATTTTGCCACATATTCTCCAACAGTCATGTTTCCTTGTTTCAGTTCAAGGAATTCTATTTCTTTTCTGTTTCTTACACTCTGAGGAAAGTATTTTTCTAAAAAGGCATCTTTAAAGATTGTCCATGTAATCTCTATTCCTTAGCTTTGGTAATATCTTTTGGTATTTGTCCACCAATGCTCTGCTTCTCCAATCAACAAGTATGTGGCAAAGTTTACACGATGAGTATTAGGACAGTCCATTACTAAGAATATTTTCTCAAGTTCTTTCACCCATTCCATGGCTGCCTCAGGGTTATAATCTCCACGAAAAGTGGAAGGTTTATGCTTACGGAATTCGGTGAGTCCTTTATAATCAGAATTAAGTCCTCCTTGAGTATTTGTAGTTCTAGGTCCATTTTCACTTTTAGAATTATGGTTGTAGTTTCTGGTTGCACGATCCTCCCTCAGCTCCTGAATAATTTGCTGATTAGTTATAGTTTGTTCTCTAAGAGCTTCTGCCACTCGGGTAACCGCATCCGTTACTGGGTTAATTGCTGGTTTAGAAGTTGAAGAAGATATATGCCTTGTATCTGCCATAGATCTACATATATTGTTTTATGATAGTGAGTTGATCAGGCTCATTACAATAACTCAAAATATGCATGATCTTATGACGAAATACCAAGCAACTATAATAGTTTGGGTCTTTTATTTACCTGAACCGTTGCTCTGATACCATAAAATGTAACATCCTCTTAATAAATAAATATATTTAGAAATAATAATAAATAACTAAAATAGATGAGAAAATAAATCTAGAAAGATTAACTAGAAACACTAACACCCTTCATTTATTACACATGGATGTAAGTTAGTACAAATATCTTACATTCTAAATATTTTACATCAGTTCCACACATATATTACACTCCTACTACATCAGGTTACACTGTTTATTCATTACATACTTCTCAATCTAGTCTAGCCTTTAGGTATAGGACTCCACACTGTCTGCATGGAATATAGCTGCTGCTCCTTGGTTTCCAACTATTATGTAAAATTCCCAACGATCGTCATAAAAATAAACATTCACAGTCCATCCTTCTCCAGAAAAAGATAAGTTAGGCATGATGACTTTCTGGAAAAGGTTAGCACAAAATAAAACAATGTGAGATAATTCTCAGCAATATTGAGATATTTGAACTATAACCATTTCTAGCCATAATAATGGAAAATATCAATCTCCCAAGTTAGTTTATAACTGAAATAATAATAATAATAAATAATGTAATATTTAACTGAAGCCAATTTAATTCCCAATTTTGTGGGTCTCCTACTTGTGAAAAGTTATGATATGGCGGAGCTCAAGCCATGATAAGGCGTCCCTTATCCTAACTATCTGATCCCAAACTTTTGAGGGTCAGTTCACAGTAGTAACATACAGTTAAAATTTACACAACCTTTTATTATTTATTTGATACCAAATAATTTGTTGTATCTTACTACTAAGGAAAATTTAAAATTTAATGAATATCCTAATAACATTAGAGGTAAAACAGAATTAAAAGAAAGATTAAGGTAAGAATATAGATGCAAATAATATTTAATAAGAGAAGAAATAAAAAATATTTTGGTAGAATAACAGCATTACAATTTTCTAAAAATAAAAAAAAAGAATATAACTAAAAGGAAGAAAATAGAGAGAAAGTTTTACTCTCTCAATACTACCTTTCCTCTATTATACCTCTGTCGTCTTCTTCTTCTTCTTTTTTCCGTATCCTCTCCTCCTCTCTGTAATTTTTCTTCTCTCCGTAACTTTTCTTCTCTACTTTTCTTTACTAACCAAGTGAAATGAGATTGAATTGGTACCTATATATATACACTGGACGCTGAGTCATTTCATTCTTTCTTTTTATTTTTTTATTTTTTTTATTTTCTTACATCACTATCCTTGCATCAGTGAAATTACATCATCCTTATTGTAAAAGTTTTGCAATTGTGGCTTGGAGGGGGGTGTTCCACGTGGCCCCCTCGTTGCCATATACTATTATATTTTTTTTTCTTTTATTATTATTCTTTATTTTAAATATACATCATTATTTAGATACAATTATTTTAATTAGTCTTAAACACTTTTTTTTTTAAAAAAAATAATACATAAGATATAGTATACATATAAATATTATAAATTAAGAATAATATACACCCTAAAGTTATTTTTAATTTAGTTTTAAATTGTTTGTGATCTAATAAAAATATTTGTTCTTAGTAGGTCATAGATTGTCCCAAAAACAATTAATTTATTATTATTATTTTTTATTTTTCTTTATTATTATTTTATTTTATTTTTTTATTTTTCTTTATTCGATTATTACACAAGTTTTGTAATGCTATTATGATTGTTATTTGTATTTAATTTGATGTGTAAAATGGAAAGTTATTAGTGATTATTTGAAAGAGATATGATAACTTAATATGAAAAGAGTGGATAATGCTATGATGCTTGGAGATATTACTCCGGGAGTATCAGGTTAGCGGAAGACGTGTGAGAGCTTCCGTATGAACTATAGCATTTAAATTGTGTAATGACTACCATAAGGACTGTGGTGATCGGAAGTGGATAATATTGAAAAAATGGTGAAACTATGAATAGTTTATAAAGTTAAAGCAAAGTTATTTGAAGTAGTTTATGTGTTGTATGATTAATATTTGTAATTGTGTTAATTGATTTAATACAATTAGTTGTCTGAAGAATTGTGATGGTTATATGCAATTAACCTTACGATATAAATCAACTAGATTAATCAGTAACGAAATATGTATGTTGTATGTAGTATCTGAAAATTTGTATGCTTAAACTATATGTTTCTGCAATCCTATATGTGCTAGCCAATTATACAGGAAGAAACTCAAGGGTGGAGACTACTGTATAAACCTTGAGTTTACTGGGATTTTATACCTCACGTTTCGGGGCACATTTCAGGTTCTGCTTAAGGTGGTGAGTCTTCAAAGATTATGCAATGTAAAAAGGATGGTTAGCAGACACAATAGGCTCAATTTGGTTTACTAACGTTTGGGATTAAGCATGTATGTTTAAATTTCGGATATTATCTGTATGTTGAGACGTAGATGTAGTTGATACATCTATATATATTTGAGTTTGTTACGCATAGTAAAGTATATCTGTATGTTTCAAGTTTATTGAAAGTGAGTAAGAATCTATGGATAGGTTTTGAAGCTGTTGATATAGAATATTTATGTTTTGGTTACGTCTGGATTATATAACAACCCTCACTGTCAAACAGATGACAGTGAATTAACAAAGTGTTTATGTGGGAATTTAAACACGTAGTCAAGGAAATGGTATACGGTAAATCATGTAATTGACATGATAAATAAGTTAAGAATACAGTTCATGCCAAACAAGTCTAATAGGACCCTAAAATAAGTATAAGGTAAATGTGGGGATATAGATGTCATTATGTGAAAAGTCATGATTACTTTGTTAATTGACCAAGGTTAAGTCAAAGGTTGAATTTAATGATGTAATTAAATTCTATGATTAATTTCATAGGTGCAAAGTGATCTTATTATGATTACTTTGTGAACTCTTTGCATGATTTTTTATGTATGATTGATTCTTTGAGACCTTGTATGTTTTATATTCTTAAAGGTCAAAGTTAAGGGTTGACTAACAAATAAAAATCAAGGTTAACTAGTCTTGAATAAATGGACCAATGGTTGGAAAGTTTGAAAGTCTTAAAGTATAGAAATTACCAAGTAAGCAATCCTAGTCATCCTTGCACTTGTTGGGCGGTTTATGCAAGTGGAAGAGGATCTAGAATATTGTATATAAAGATGACAATGCAAGTGTGAATTTAAAGGACCAACATGAAGCAAGCAAGTGTGTAGTTGTAAAAGTGTAAAGTTATGTAACTTTGGTGATCTTTTACACAACATAACCGGTCACCATCTCTTTCCCTAAGTGTCCAACAAAATTTTCTCCTCCTTCTATATTTCACGGTCGTGGCATATGCTAGAGAGAGAGAGAGCTTGTGAGTTCTTTAATTTTACGCACTTTTTGGAGAAAACTCATTACACAAAATGATAGCTTTTGATCTTGTGATCCTAAATCTCTCTTCTTCTTTTTTCTTGAAGAGCTTTGTAGTGAGAGAAACCTTCATCCAAAGAGTGTTGGTACTATTTGCCTAGAGAGAGAAAGTTAGGGTTTTGAGAAATTGATTGGCGGAAAAGAAAGCTTGGTGTTCAACGAAGCTATTTAAGGTATTACTTCTTAATTTTGATGGTTGGAAGTTGATATTTCATGGTATTAAAGTTTGATTAGGGTTTGTGAAGATTATGAATATTTGATGCTGTTTGATGTGGTTTGAAGTTGTTTTGAGGTTATATGTTAAAATTATGCTTGGAAATGTATAAAACAAGCTAAGGAACTTTGTATTTTAACATCGGCCAAATGGTGTAAATTGTGCAAACTATGTGTTTGAAGAAATGTTAAAATGAAATTAAGGTTGTAGGATAATTTAATGATGTTTGGTTCAAGAGAAATCAATTGGAAAATATGTGTTAAAACCATGGAATTTTAATTAAGTCCATTCAGCCATGTGTATTTTAAATAGCTAGGATTAATAATCAATTGCATTTAATTATTTAAAGTATGCCTAGTGTATGACCAAATGGTGGTAGCTCAGTTGGCGTATGGGAGCTGAGCAGGTGGGGGTGAGGGCATGTGTTCGAACCTCTCCAGTACCACCTTTGGGAGGGGTTTAAAGCATTAATCCTGGACCCGCCCCGAATCGGACTAATCGCGAAGCGATGAACCGATGGAATATTTCCAAAAAAAGATTTAAAGTGGTTTACATTGAAAAGAAATCAAATTAATGACATAGAAATTGTGTAAGTGTCATTGTACAATATAAAGTGTAACTGTCAAAGATTGTGTAATTGAACTAGAGTGTTTAAAGAATTGTGTAGTGTAAATAGATGTGAATTATAAAGTGATTAAGTTGGTTAATCATGTAGATTAATTACATGAACAATTCGGCCAACATAGATTAATTACTTAAAATTATGTACTTTGATAATTGAATGTTGTGTAATGTTCACTTGGTAAAAAGAATGAAGATTTAACATAGTTTAATAGGATTGAATGTGAGAAAAAGTAATTGAATATACATAGGTGTTAATATGGCTATGTAAAGAAAATAATAAAAGAATGGAAGTTGAATTGATATCATGTAAGTTTGTAGACACGATAATTTGTAAAGGAAGTTACAGTAGTAAAGTGTATGTAAATTGTGTGTGAAAGAATGTAAGTTAAAGTGTTGTGTAAGGTTTGTGTGTGATGTAAAATTAACGTAATATCAAGTGCTTATGGATTAGGTTGAATGATATATCCATTGGACAAATTAATTGTAAGAAAAGAAGGCATGAAATGCATGAATCATTAGGGGAATGATTCGGCCATGATAGGTTAATTATTATGGTATGTTAATGAAAATTAATTAAAGGTTGTATGATGTTTGAGAAGTGGAATCAAGTAAGTTTCAAGTGGTGTTAAGGTATACTTAGCCTTAATAAAGTATTAAATACTTACTTGGGTTAATGGTTTAACTAATTAGAAATATGGGTCTAATGTTAACGTGTGAAACTATGTTAACACTTGTGTGGTATGACATGAACTGTTAATGTAAAGATCACAAGAACGCGAAAAAAACGTGAAAGTCTAGAAGGCCAACACCCCGATTAGCCCAAATAGGGCAGCACAGAAGCATGAACAAGGCGGTCTACAGAAAGACTAGCTACTCTAGAACCAGACCTTGGCCAAGAAAGCCGGAATAGGAGAAGCAGTAGTGAAACTGCAAGTAACTAAGCACCAAGGTCTGACGCGGAATTCAGATCCTGCCGCACTGATAAGAAGTCACTCGCAAAACAAAGACATCCAAGGCATCCCAAGAACACCCAGCAAACGCCAGCTAAGGATGAACCCAGACTTGGCTGAGGTATAAGAAAAATTATCGTAGTTCAGCCACATAGAGATATATAATATATGGGATCCTTTGACTGAATGGACTGAAACATGATTGAGACATGTTAAAGACACTATAGCCCGACAGCCTGAACGCTCAGACTATTAGACTCGGGGGCACGTGTAGTAACGCAACCGTCAAAATGGAACGAGGAATAGCAACAACCTTCGTAGGACGAGACCCCGACAAACCAATTTCTGAGCTTGCATTAAGGGAAAATGCCAGAAAGTCATAAGGAAAGACAAAATATTTCAGCCTAACACAACCCAAATGGAGTACAAAACGCGAAGGCAGCAAGTGACTCCCAAGGTACGTCCCACCAGTCAGAAAGGGACACACTTAAAGGAATAACTGTGGAATGTAATAAGGAAGGAAAAAAGATTTCAGCCCAACACGACCCAAGCAACCCAGTCCAGGGAAGTCGGCCAAGACACAAATACTAGAAAGCATGAAGAACAAAAGCAACGGAACCCAGGAAAGACGGTCTAAAGAAAGATCGACCAGTCTTAAGCGGGACCTTAGCCAAAAAGGTTGAGTGAGGAATACCAGAGCGACATCTGCAGTATCTGGCACATAAAACCTGGCATAAAAATTCAAAGGCTGAGTTAAAATTCGAATTATAAAGCATAAAAAGAAAGTAGCTCATTGTGAACCAGGAAGTACACAAAGAGCGAAATCTGGAGCGCAGATCAACAAGATTGCATGGATTCTAGAAAAAGCATCGGAACTCAGAAAGGCATGGAAAAGACCCAGGCAAGGAGGTTAAAAGGAAAAGCTCGTCCACTTCTAATGAGAACCTCGGTCATAAAAGTTCGAGGGGGAATGACCGACATGAGAATCCAACATAATAGACTTGAAAAGACGAATCTAGACTAATTTTGCAAGTCCCAAACCAAAGCACCCAACACGGACCAGGACATGACTGGATCCCAACAGCGAAGCTCGGCAAGTTTAATCTTTAACACAGTCACAGACAATAACAGCAATCGCCGACTCAATTAAGTCTGCTAAAAAGGGTTTCAACTCAGAGAAAAATTGTCGGAAAAAGAAAACAAGTTCATCATTACAATAATGACAACTATTACAGCTCGGTAGTCCGGACACCCAGACTATTAAGGTAGGGGGCAACTGTTATGATCCTGACATAAAGGCCCACATTCTAGAAGGTCCAAGAAGGGAAAATAGCTAAGAAGGATATTAAGGAAATATTCCTTAACTATACTAATTCTAGTGCGACAACAATGGATCAAGCATTGGATCCTCCAAAATCCATCTAAGGTCCAAAATTTCACTACCTAAAGGAAAACTCTATAAATAAGAGGTAAAGCCTATAGGTATGACACTCTTTTCTCTTATAAGTTATCACTATGCACACACCCCACGTCTTGGCTACGCTGCTTTCTTATTGTGCATAATGATCTTTAGTCTCTAAGGTATCTCTCCCATAAATACATGAGACATAACACACAAATCCAATAGAAACATACCAATCATCAGATTGGACATTATTGATTCTCCAAGATCAAACAGCTACAAAACTTTACATGATTATCTTATGTGAAATTTTAACATGAGAGGATCGGTATTCCCCGGTTAAACAGAATTTTTGTAATTACTGTTTCCAACATACAAAGCTAAACGAAGTATTGGATTTTGCAGTTCCATTTGGCACTATTAACATCAAAGGTACTATGCTTTGAACTAGGGTTGGCAAAACGGGCCAACCCAACCCACATATAACCCGAAAAAAAGAGCCGGGTTAGGGTTGGCTTGAAAAAAAATGAGCCAGAAAACCAAATCCAACCTGACCTGACCCGAGTCGGGTTAGGGTTGACTTGCGGGTTGGCTAAAAAATATGGTTCGTGGGTTGGCTTGAAAAAATAGCTCGCGAGTTGGCTTGCGGGTTGGCTCAAAAATTACTCGCGGATTGACTCGAAAATTACTCGCGGATTTTCAGCATATTTAAATGAACCTGTAGTATTAATGCACCAGCTATGTGGCTTCTATCAGCTTAAACAAAAGGCTACAAAATGAGAAATAAAAGCAAAATATTCTACTTTCGAATTTTCTTCACAACAAATTTGCACCAACATCAAGAAACAATAAGAACCGCTTGCTACAAAGTGGGTAAGTTATTTGAATCAAACAGAGTCAGCATAGTCTAACAATATAAAAATGGCAGAGATATGAGAAAATTAGGGACTTAGGTTTAGAGAAGGAAGAAAGACAATGACTACATCTGTGAGTTTTGTCCATGTTTTTATATTATATTTTGTATTTAAAAAAAAAAAAACTCAACCCGCGAACTGGCTCGTTAAACCCGCGGGTTGACCCTTTTTTTCCGAGCTGACTCAAGTTGAATTGGCTCGGATTGAGAGCTCATTTTTGCCAACACTACCTGACTCATTTTGAATGAGTTACGAGCTAACCAACCGGATTAGCTTATATTTACCAACCCTACTTTAAACTCAGACAGCAGATTGCATCTTGTTACACTTCTCCCTCAGCACAGGGAACAACCTTCCTCGATAAGACCTTGGGTGGGAATTCGAAAAAGTACAGACTGAGATTCCAATGGAATTCCTTAAAATAGTGGGGGGCTTCTAATACTTTCTACTTCACTTCCTTTTTTTGTCAATTAAGTTAAAGGAATTATGTATTGTCCCATTTTAAGGTCAGGAACATGCATAATAACTATAGATCTTACCAAGAAAATATTTCTGCCTAATCCAACCTAAATGATATAAATGAAGTGCTTCAATCCTCAACTATTTCATTTTCAATCTTACCTCTTCAATTTAATAATAATGTTTAATGTTACATACATATATGAGAATTGCCAAAATTTTGAACCCTTAAATTTTCCCAAATTTACAGACGACCGAGTTGGATATTATCTATCTTTGTCAGCTATATAACATTGTTTAAAGAAGGTTATGATGTCATTAAAAAAAAAAATTCAATCTTGAAGTGGTGGGGTTTACACATACGCGCTATTGACCGTTGACTCTGCAAGCTGCTGAAGCTGAATTGCATGCTACCCACCAATCTCTCGCTCTCTTTCTAGCAATCTCTTGTTCTCTTTCAAATATAGTTGTAGCCTCAGAGTTGCAGACAAAGAAGACATGGCTGAAGCTTTAGTGGCAGGAGCTTTTCTATCTGCTTCTGTGCAATCTTTAATGGAAACAATAACTTCAGTGCAGTTCCGAGACTTCTTCAGGAAGATCAGTAAGCTAAATATCTCACTCCTGGATGAGTTGCAAACAACACTGCTAACTCTTCAAGCAGTTCTCAATGATGCGGAACAGAAGCAGATTACCAACCCTGCAGTAAAAGAATGGCTGGAACGGCTAAAAGATGCAGTGCATGATGCAGAAGACCTGCTAGATGGAGTCAACACTGAGGCTCTGAGACACAAGGTGGAAGCTCAACATCCACATCAAACTACTACTGTGAACTCCAAGTTAGAGGCCTTGTGCCAAAGACTCCAACGTTTTGCTGCACAAAAAAGTGGCCTTGGTTTGCAACCTGTTAGCATGAGGGTATCAGTTAGAGCACCAACAAGCTCTGTGGCAAATGAGTCAGGTGTGGTGGGTAGAGATGATCATAAGGAGAAACTAATGAGTTTGCTGTTATCAAATGATGAAAACTGCAATAATAACATAGGGGTGATTACAGTTTTTGGTATGGGTGGTATTGGTAAGACAACCCTTGCTCAGCTTCTCTACAATGACCATAGAGTAGAAGAACATTTTGATCTGAAAGCATGGGCTTCCGTTTCAGAAGTTTTTGATGTCACTGTGGTAACAAAATCCCTTCTTGAGTCTGCAGCTTCAAAACATTTTGAAAATGAAAATCTGAATTTTCTCCAAATTGAATTGAGGCGAATCTTGAAAGGCAAAAAATTCTTGCTTGTGTTGGATGACATTTGGAATAACAAATATGTTGAGTGGGATGGCCTACGAACTCCCTTTAGTGAGGGAAAACAAGGAAGTAGAATCATCATTACAACACGTCAAGGAGACGTTGCTCAAATGACACATACATTCCCTATATACCATTTGGAACCATTGTCAGATGAAGATTGTTGGTCACTACTTTCCAAGCATGCATTTGAAAATGGAGACCCTAGCAGACACCCCAACTTGGAAGTAGTTGGTAGAAAGATTACTGAAAAGTGTGGTGGCTTACCTATAGCTGCAAAGACATTAGGAGGTATGTTGAGGTCCAAAGTGGATGAGAATGAGTGGGCTTATATTTTGAATAGTAACATATGGGAACTACTAAATGATGATGTTCTACCTGCTCTATGGCTAAGCTATCTCTATCTCCCTCCTCATTTGAAACGATGTTTTGCCTATTGCTCAATTTTCCCAAAAGCAGTTCCTTTAAATAGGAAACACATAGTACTACTTTGGATGGCAGAGGGTTTGCTTCGACAAGGCCAGAAGAAATCAATGGAAGAAATAGGTGATGAATATTTTGATGAACTATTGTCAAGATCATTAATTCAACAAGATGGAGATGATTATGTAATGCATGACCTCATCAATGATTTGGCCACAGTTGTATCAGGGAGAAGTTGTAATAGGTTTGAGAGTTGTGAAATATCAGAAAGTGTCCGTCATTTTTCTTACTCTAGAGGTAAGTATGACTCTTCCTCCAAGTTTGAGAGTTGTTATGCAGCAGCAAAATCTTTGCGGGTGTTCCTCCCTCTGCCATTGACTGATGATCCAAATTTATGGTGGTACTGGAAACATTACTTGACTAAAAGGGTTACACAGGATTTTCTGTTTAGACAAAGATACCTACGAGTCCTGTCATTGGCAAACTATAGTAACATTAGTGAATTGCCTAATTCACTAGGCAATCTGATACACTTGCGATTTTTGGACCTCTCCTTTACTCCAATCAAAAGGTTGCCCAGTACAATATTTAAGCTCTACAATCTTCAAACATTAAGATTGTTATACTGTCAGAACCTCACTGAATTGCCGGCAGAAATAGAAAACTTAGTTAACTTGCGTCATCTTGACATGAGTGGCACTAAACTGAAGATGCCAAGACAGATCACCACCCTACAAAATCTCCAAACTTTAAGTACTTTGGTTGTAGGCAAACAGTATGATGGACTAAGGCTTAAAGATTTGGGATGTTTCCCAAAACTGCAGGGAAAACTTTCAATTTTGGAGTTGTGCAATGTGGTTGATACCATAGATGCTATTGAGGCAAACTTGAAGAACAAAGAGCTCATTGAGGAGTTAGTGTTGGATTGGAGCAGCCTTGCCAGTCAAGGTTCACAACTTGAAACAGAAGTGCTTGACCTGTTGCAACCATCAACCAATCTTAGGAAACTTACCATTGAATCATATAATGGCACCAGATTTCCTAACTGGTTGGCAGATTTTTCATTTTCCAACATTGTGTTTTTGTGTGTAAGTGGTTGTAATTTTTGCTTCTTTCTCCCACCACTTGGACAACTTCCTTCTCTCAAGGAGCTTTATGTTACAAGGATGAAAATGATAAAGACTGTTGGTCCTGAGTTCTATGGTAGTTGTACCCCTTCTTATCAACCATTTCCATCCCTTGAGGTTTTATCATTTGAGGAAATGTTAGACTGGGAGGAGTGGCAACTGTTCAATGGTGAAGGCATAGAGTTCCCTTTTCCATGTCTTAAACGTCTACGTTTGTACAATTGTCCTAAGCTAAAGGGATATTTACCATGTCAGCTTCCTTCCAGCTTGACAGATGTTAACATATCTTACTGTGATCAGCTGGAAGCATCTACTTTACATTGGATTACATCAACTAAAAGTTTGACTATTATTGATGGAGGTCAACACTTATTGCCAATCCTTGAGAATGATTCACAGTGCTTGCTATCCTACATAAAGATTGAAAGGAGTGATATGCTGACATCTTTTCCCAGAATGGTTCTTAGCAGCAATTGTCTCCGTGACTTGTACCTCACTAAAATTCCATCTCTCACATCCTTCCCAACTGAGGGTATGCAGACTTTACGGACACTGTTGGTATCCGAATGTAAGAATTTAGAATTCCTACCTGATGAAGCCTGGGAAAATTACAGTTCACTTGAAAATTTGATGATATGGGACAGTTGTCACTCACTCAGATGCTTTCCATTAGGCTGTTTCCCTGTGCTCAAATATCTTTATATCTGGAGTTGTCCAAATCTCGAATCACTTTCAATCTCAGATAATGCTGCTTCTGCCCAGAGTTTGTCATGTCTTGAAATCTTGAAAATAAGTAGCTGTTCTAATCTGGAGTCTTTTCCTCAAAGTGGATTGTCCACTCCCAACTTAATGGAATTTAAAGTCTTCAATTGTGGAAAACTTAGATCACTTCCAGAACAGATGTACACCCTCAATTCTCTTCAAGATTTAGAAATTTCTAATATTCCACAGCTTGTGTCATTCCCGCAGGGTGGTTTGCCACTAAAGTTAAGATCAGTATACATAGGCTTTTGCAAAAGTCTATCACCTATGGCTATAGCTAAGTATGGTTTTCAATGGCTTACATCTCTTTTGAAGATTGGAATAGGAGGCGATGATCTTGTCCAGGCATTCTTGGAAGGGAATGCGCTTCAACATCTCACCTCTCTTGAAGAGTTTCACATCCTGCGTTGTCAAAGGCTTGAGTCCTTGCCAGAAGATAGGTTACCTTCCTCTCTTTCTTTGTTGAAGATCCAAGACTGTCCTCTACTGGAAGGAAGATACAAGAATAGGTCAGGGAAACATATGTCAAAGATTTCTCACATCCCTACCATAAGAATAAATGAAGAGGTGATAATATAGCTCGTCAAGTGAAATAAAGCATGGAAAACTAGAAGGTAAGGCCTTTAATTTTGTCCAACAATGCAGCTTAAGTGTTTATTAGAAGTTAAAAGTTTGTTTATCCTATAAGAGAGGGATGTGAACATTTCTCCAGGCTAAATCACATTTGAGATTTTGTATCTATGACTGAATATTTGTGGTTTAAATACATATCTACTAAAAAATGAAGTCATGTTTCATTTGACTGACACATGACGTGAAGCTTATGTAGTATGAAAGGTTTTGCATTTATCATTGTTCTTTATGCACTGAGAATGCTGGGTGCGTACTAATAAATACACTGATGCCTTTATCATCCTTCGTTTGTGTTCTATCCTAGGGGCTGGACAGGCTGAGGCTTCTATGCCGGTAGTGTGGTTGCTGACTGTAACTCCTATGTGTGTTCCGGTGGACAAAATGTAGTGTGTATCTGGCATCTGCAAGCACCCTGATGCTCAAACCAATAGATAAATGAGGAGAAATATGCAATAAGAGGAAGGATAATGCGCAAATGGTGCGTATGAGCCGGCCCTGACCCGATGGACAAGATGGGGCATAGGCAGTTCTAGGAAGGTTGTTGAGGAAGCTTTGCCATAGCATAAGGTCGTACACTATCAGAGCAAACAGTCAAGTTGTCAGGTACGTTGCCACACTGCATGCTGCTGCTTATGTCAGTCTATAGAACAGGCATTGAGAAGCTTATGTCAGTTTGGTTTCTGCAGATTTCATCATTTTGAGTTTACTACATAACCAATCATTCAAAGGAACTAATGCGGAGTTTTGATACTGAACGTCAGCAAATGATATTTGAGATCTAATTTCTGTAGTAACGCTTGATGATGGAGTGACTTTTTGGGGCTTTAGAGACTGTTTGACGTTCTGTTTTGAAAATGGTCGTTGGACTAAAAATCTGTGTGATGAAGTTAATATTTCCATTCCAAGATGTAAACGGCCCTCTGATCTCTTTCTAAGAGGTGTGGTCACTCTGAATCCTGAAGAGTAACATGAGTATAGTTATATAACCTGGCTACTTTCTTCTTCTATTATTGTGACCTATGCAAATATTTTGGCCTTTAGTGAACATCATAACACCTCACTAGGTATCGTATTAAACATAAATTACCTCAAACTTGGAAAAATACAAATAATGGCCTAACTCTTGTTTATCTATGCAAATGTTGATTGGGATTCCTCACTTAAGAGGGGAAAAAAAATCCTCCAGGTTGCCAATTCTTTACGTCAAATCCCTTAACGGGTCAATACTTAACTAGTCTCTTACCTATAATAACTTGATTTGTTGAGTCAATTAATCAATGACATTTTTTTTATAATATACATTAGTCCATGTAATTATCTTTTGGAGCTGTATACGTATATAAATATGGCTGAGGTAAATTCCTTTAAGCAAATGCATCAAAATGCTACAGAGTACAATAGAACATTGCTGTCATAATCAGTTCATCACATATTCAAGAAGATATGGATATTTTATTCTTTTGCAAGAACAATGACATTTTTAATTTAGCAGTCTAATACTGGTATACTATGATGCACGGACACTGACACAGGACACGACACGACACGTCGACACGTTAATTCTAAGAAATAACATATTTCGACACGTTGGGACACGTTTTGATATTAAATAATATTTTTAATATATATAATATATTTTTATTTAATATATATAACAGTTCATAATTAGTCATATAACCAATCAAATATTCAAATTTCATAACATAAATATAAAAATAATAATTTTTCGTACCTTGTTAATTTTTCATGTCAAATTTCATAACAGAAAAAAATTGATTTATAAATATTTTTTTTTATTTTTAGTTAACAAAATAAAATTAAGACAAAAAAAAAACGTGTCCGAGCATGTCCGAACGTTGACCACGTGTCCGAAAAAGTTGACTGCGTGTCCAAAAAACGTGTCGGACGCGTGTCCGAAGCGTGTCCGGGTTTCTTAGCTGGTATATGATACTATCTTTTTCTTGAGCGCTCTGATATCCTTTACAAGTCAGTCATTCTTCATTTGAGAAACTTGTAAAGAGAATCTTACCAGCAGCCTACAGATTCGTGTTGTAATTTGTCAGTGCTTGGCTAATCTGGACCAAAAGATCAAAATTTTGGGCTAGTTCGTGCAGTCCCAATTTTAATTAGAAACCAAATACAATCTATAAATCAATCTTGACCATTGCTCACAACAACCATGAATATTAACATTTATACATAACCATCTTTAGAGTTATTTGCACGATTCATTTCTTCACATCATAAACCTCCTATAAGAAATGACTTTTAGCAAAGGAACAATGCTACACATAGGCATTTTACTCCTCACTTTTCACATCATTACAAAAAACAAAACAAGGAAATCTGGACGAATTCGGAGTTTGGACAGATGAATATTAACCTGAACAGACGAACAGCATGCTCTGCCTCTAAGAAAACAAAGAATGCTTAAGGATCAAACGTTAAAAAATTCAATCTTGAGCTGAAAATGGAACGAACAAGGAATGCTTGTCAAATTCAAAGCACTAACTCACACAAGAAAATACAATTCAATTCAAAAAAGTGAGAACACTCCCGCAGGAAATTGCAGAACCATAAGAAAATTATTCAGTTATTAGACTCAATACTTTCCCCATCACATATGCATTTCATCGAGCAGGTAGAATGCAAATTTGTTTCCCCAGGTTTTTTTGACTATATGATGATGGCTACATGCGGCTTTTCTTGTAATGTATAATATAGGGTTTAATGATCTCCTAGTCCTAGACACACATAAAAAAATATGTGGCCATATATTTTCTTTTTTGTTCCCTCCTTATATGGAATAAATCTTTAAGGCTACTGTTGCACCTAGATTCAGTGCATCCCACCAATAGAAGCATTACATGTCATAGGAGAGAGAAACAATTTGTTAGAGGTGAGAGAACTTTGGCTGACATGTAGAGCTCTCATTGGTAGAATGCACTGAATCTAGGGTATATCAGTAGCACCAAAAATTTATCCGCTTATATGTGCTCACGTGGAGCTCCTTTACTTTGATGAGTGTAATTGATAAATTTATCTTATGTGATATGATAAACAATAAACACTTTATTTAAATATGGGGAAATATTTTATTTTTGCTGCAAAAAAATTTTTTGTCACACTCGTATAAAAATGAATGAATCTTATTAATTTTTTTTCTCTTTTCTATTTGCAATGAGACTCATTCACTTGTATGTGAATGTGACGAAAAAAAATTTCTTCCATAAAAGCTGAAATATTAAACCTTTTAAATATATATTAATTCTTCTGTTTTTTTTTTGTCAGAGGTCTCAAACTTAAATTTCATTGATTATTAGCTAAAACTTAACCAGAGTACTCAGTGTGACATTTATTATTCTGTGTGTAGTAAGTGAATTGCCTATTGTCATGTTTCCAATTCTAACTCGAGGAGTTACTAAAAAGTAAATTTACGATGAAACTTTTTCGGGGAACTACCACAGTTAATTGGGATAATTTTATTTTCATCTGGTTATATGATTTATCACTTGATCCTTGATGATTTCAAATTTATTATTTAGACACAATGTAATTATAAAAATGTATTATTTAACCATCGTGATTTCAAAACATAACATATACTGATTGTGGTCATAAAAATGTATTTTTTTTTTGTAGACATAAAAATATATTACTTAAATTCCTTGTGATTTTATATATATACGATATTTTTTATTTTTCCTAATTTTTATCTTATATTATTATCCGATCATAAATTAAAATTATAATAAAATTAAGTATTAAAGATTAATATAGAAATCATATATTTATAAGTTACTTTAAACATTATCTAAAAAACAAATATGTATCCAAAAATATAAATTGTTTACTAATAATATATTAGAAATTACAAATATTATTTAAGATATAAAAAGCATTATCTTTAAATTTATTTAAGTTAAATTAAAAAATTAAAAAATATATTAATCTATGGGTTTGTTTTTTCTGATGTTACTTTAGATAACTTTATCTAATGTTCATCAAAACAATGTCGTTTTGGGACGAAAATCATGGTATTTTTGTAATTTTAATTTATTTCAGGGTTACAATAGTCTTTATCACTTTAATTTTTTAATTTTTCAACCCAAAACGACGTTGTTTCGATGAACATTAGATAAAGTTATCTAAAGTAACATCGGAAACTTTTTTCCCTTAATCTATATGAATAATTACTTAAATTTAAATAAATTATTTATTTTTTAAATTTATTTTTAATTAATAATAATATCAGTTAGATCTTAATTAATAATAATATTAGTTAGATCATATAATCTAACAAAAATAAATTTTTCATTTTTCCTTTTTCATTAAATATTAGTAGCAAGTAAAATTATAATAAAATTAATTATAAAAAAAAGATTAAAATTATTATTTTGAAAATTATGGTGAAGGTAATAATTTATTTTAAAATAAAAATATTATTTAAGAAAATCAAACGTCTATTATATAATGTATTTATTTTAAAAATTAAAATATATTTTAAGAAATTATTTGTTTTTCTCATAAAATAAATTAAAATAAAATACTATTTTACTTTATTTATTTTTTATTTGGTATCATTATAATTTTATCAAAAAAAAACTTTATTAAATAATATATTTAGATAATACAAATTTAATTTATCTTAAATTTATTTTTAATTTTAAATATATTTTTATATTAATAAAAAAATGTAAAAATAATTTCAAAATAAATAAATTAAAATATTTTTAATGTAATATTTAATAATTACATTTATTAAAAGTTTATTCAATGATATCTAATTACACAAAAAAATTAGGAAAATAAATAATTTTATATTTTTAAGACCACAAGAGTTTAAGTAATTTATTTTTGTAACCACGATGAGTGTAAATGAAAGTTTAAGAACACAGGATTAAATGATAAATTTATTGACCACAATGGATATGAGTGATAAATTT